TTCGAGGCGCGCCGTTTAGCGAATTTCCATGGCCCTCGCAAAGTTAAAAATGCGTAGTTGCTTTGGGCGTGTTATTTTAATAACATTACCTTCCTAAACTCGGGTGTGCATTTCATGTGACCCAGATCCAAATCCATATAACGTTGAATAAAATATGTTTCGGATTGCGGGTGCATTTCATGTGACGCGATCCAAAGACATATTTTAGACGACGTTAAATCTTCTTAAAAAAAATGGGTAAAAGCGGTTAAAAGTAAAAAGGCACATAGGTTTAAAATTGTTACTAAAAATCAGATAATTATGCCAATTGTAGCAGTTGAGTGACCGTGCTAGATCCATCGAACTCGGGAATGCCTAACACCTTCTCCCGGGTTAACAGAATTCCTTACCCGGATTTCTAGTTCGCGGACTGTAATACAGAGTCAACCATTTTCCTCGATTCGGGATTTGAAACTGGTGACTTGGGACACCATAAATCTCCCAAGTGGCGACTCTGAATCTTTTTTAAATAATCCCGTTTCGATTGTCCTTTAATTGGAAAAACTCCCTTTTGTTATACCCTTACGGGGGTGTAGTGAAAAAGGAGGTGTGACAGCATTGGTCCTGATGAATATAACAGGATATCGGCATGCCAATCAGCTAAGAAAATCTGGGAAGCTCTCCAAACAACTCATGAAGGAACAACACAAGTCAAGTAATCAAAGATTAACATGCTTACAACTGAATATGAGCTTTTCAGGATGAAAGATGATGAATCCATCCAAGACATGCATACTCGTTTTACCTCTATCATAAATGAGCTTCACTCTCTTGGAGAAATCATTCAAAGAAACAAACTTGTTAGGAAAATACTTAGTGTCCTGCCTAGCTCCTGGGAAAGCAAAGTGAACGCTATCACTGAGGCAAAGGACTTGCAAAAGCTGACCATAGATGAACTAGTTGGTAATCTGAAAACATATGTAATGAAGAAGAAGAAGGACAACGAAAGAAGAGAGCTCAAAAGGGAGAAGAACCTGGTCCTCAAGACAGACATCAATGATTCAAGTGGTGAGGATACTGATATGGCTTAATTACCTGACAAAAAGATTCTAGAAAATGGTTCGCAGAAATGGAGGCATTCTTAAAAGGGCAGTTCTAGAAAGCTAAAAAATTATTACCTAGTCATAAATGTGGCAAGCCAGGACACTTCATCAAGGACTATACACTTCTAAAGAAAGATCAATTCAAGCACAACACAGACAAAGCAGCCAAGAGGAACCTAGTTCCTGATAAACGTTTCAAAAGGAAGAATGCTGCTGACAATGTTGTGAAGCAAGCTCTTGCTACATGGGCAGACTCCTTCAGCGAATTTTAAGAAGATAATGATCAAGGTGAAAACTCCATGATGGCAGTGGAAAGTGAAGCAGCTGAGTATGAGTCTATTTTTGCCTTGACGGCACTCTTTGATGATGATAGAGATGACGACGATGATGATGAGGTAAACTTTCTTGATGTTCAAAGAAATCTAAAGTCTTATTCTCCGAAAAAACTTATGTCTTTGCCAGATGTTTTAATTGATACCTATCACAGTCTCATAAATGCTAAAGATGCATTAATTGTGGAACTAGGAGAAGCAGAACAGTCTAGAGATGACCTAGTAGTCGTTGTGGTTGATTTAAAGGAAACAATTGAGAGTCTGAAGAAATAAAAAGATGCCTTAGCTGAAAAAATTGCAAATATAGAATATGCGAGAGATGATTTAGTGGTTGTTGTAGTTGATCTAAAAGAGACCATTCAGTGTGTTAAGAAGGAGAAAGAAGTTTTAACTGAGAGAGTTGCTAACATTGAGCATGAGAGAGATGACCTATTAGTGGTGGTGGTAGACCTAAAGGAAACAATGGAGGAACTTAAAATGGAGAGTAGGCCTGGGAACACTCAAAAGGGAAAGGAAGTTGCAAGTGAGGCACACCTTAAGCTTGAAAACAAGTTAAAATCAGTGTAATATAATTTGTGCCGAGCTTGAGAAAAACAAACAACTTTAGGAAGAACTAGGAAGAGTGAAGAGTGATCTTGAAAAATCATTTAAATGGACCTGGTCCTCTGATGCTATCACTGCCTTGTACATAAACAATGGGGGAAACAGGCAGGGAATCGGGTTCCAAAGGAAAAAAACTCCCTACAACCCTCATAGCAAGTACGTTACTGTACCTGACAATTGGCTTTGCACTCACTGTGGCAACACTGGGTACTTTAAAGAAAACTACAAGGGCAGATTTCAGTCTCAACAAAAAAATGAAGTTTTCGCTGAAAAAGTAACTACTACTAGAAAACCTGGTCCTTCATACAAAAAATGTGTGATGCCTTCTTGGACAAAAAGAGCCCTCATTCACCCCGTTCCTCATTACAAGGGACCCAAACTCGTTTGGATTCCTAAGTTTAACTCTTGATTTTCTTGTGCAGGGAACAATGAAGGGAGCAGCCAACAACAGTACATGGATAGCTGATGCTCAAAGCACATGACTGGAAGTACAAATGATTTTCTTTCGCTGAAGGCCCTATAGGGTGGGAGTGTATCTTTTGGAAATGGCAAGAAGGGATACATTTTGGGAGTTGGAAGGATTGGGAAGTCTCTCTCTCACTCAATTAAAAATGTGTACTATGTGAACGGGTTGAAGTACAGCTTGCTGAGTGTTTCCCAAATCTGTGACAAGGGAAACAAAGTGGAATTTGTGTCAAAGATATGCACAATCACAAATCTCGTGACCGGTGAGGTGGTGCTAGTGGCAAAAAGATACAAAAATATCTACGTTGCTGACTTTGAGTCCTTGCAAAATGGGGATGTCAGTTGTCTAAGTGCTGTTGATGATGATGCTGAACTATGGCACAGAAGTCTGGGTCATGCAAGTTTCACGTTGGTGAACAAATTGGTCAGGAAGGACCTGGTTCATAGTCTGCCCAAGTCAAGCTTCAAGGATCATAAGGTGTGTGATGCATATGTAAAGGGAAATCACGTCAGATCCTCGTTCAAGCCCAAAAAGGAAGTTAGTACCTCAAGGCCACTTGATCTTCTTCACATGGATCTATGTGGACCTATGAGGGCGCCAAGAAGAGGAGGAAAGAGATACATCTTTGTTATAGTGGACGACTATTCCAGATTCACCTGGACTCTATTTCTCAGAACCAAGGATGAGACTTTTCAAGTGTTTGTTGCCTTTTTCAAAAAGATCGATGTGAAGATTGGTAATAAGGTAGCATGCATCAGATCTGACAATGGGACAGAATTTGACAATGCCCAATTTGACGATTTCTGTGCTGAAAATGGTATCACTCACAATTTTCCAGCTCCAAGAACACCTCAACAAAATAGTGTTGTGGAGAGGAAGAATAGGACTCTTGATGACATGGCAAGAATAATGTTGATTGATAGTGGGATTGCAAAAAGTTTCTGGGCAGAAGCTGTCAATACTGCATGCTATTTGGTGAATAAGTGCATGATCATGTCCCATTTTAACAAAACTCCATATGAACTTCTGAATGGAAGAAAGCCCAAGCTGACTCATCTAAGGACCTTTGGCTGCAAATATTTCGTTCTCAACAATGGCAAGGAAGCTCTTGGAAAATTCGATGCCAAAAGCGATGAAGGAATCGTTCTGGGCTATTCATCACAAAGCAAAGCCTACAAAGTATACAACAAGAGAACTCAATGTGTTGAGGAAAGCATACATGTGATCTTTGACGAATCTAATAACTTATGTGGAAAGGAGTCTCATGACAAGAGTGATCAAGATGGAGAGCAGTCAACTGTCCCTGGTGAAGTTATTGACATGGCAAATGAAAAGGCTGAAATGATGAACCACGTCAAAGATTCAATTGAGAATGGTGCAACCATATCTCCAACTGATGGAGAGGAACCTGGTTCCTCAATCACAACAACTGAAGCTGAAAATAGAGTTTTCGACGCTGTTCAAGGGACCCTACATGCTGAGATGAGAAGAAATCAAGGTTCATAGTCAGAAATACCTGGACCTTCTCACAATGAGGTTCAGGTGTCTAACTGGAAGCACAAAAGTTCACACCTTCTTGATAACATAATCACTCCTCTTGATTCAAGAATTTAAACCAGATCAAAGACCAGAAACTCACTTGCCTTCTCAGCCTCTCTCTCTCAAATAGAGCCCAAAATATTAAAGAAGCATTGATTGTAGACTGGATTACAACCATGCAAGAAGAGCTCCATCAATTTGAGAGGAACAAGGTATGACACCTAGTTCCTCGACCTTTAGATCGAAATGTCATAGGAACCAGGTGGGTATTCAGGAACAAACTTGATGAGTTTGGAAACACAACAAGAAACAAGGCAAGGCTTGTAGTTCAAGTCTACAACCAGGAAGAAGGGATTGACTATGATGAAACTTTTTCTCCAGTCGCTCGAATGGAGGCTATCAGAATTCTTATTGTCTTTGCATCACATATGGAATTCACATTGTTCCAAATGGATGTGAAAAGTGCATTTCTGAATGGCTTTCTAAAAGAAGAAGTCTTTGTCAAGCAGCCTCCTGGATTTGGGAATCATAAGCATCCTGAGCACGTATTTAAACTCGACAAGGCTTTGTATGGGCTAAAGCAGGCTCCCCGTGCTTGGTATGAAAGGTTGTCAAAATTACTTCTAGAAAATGGCTTTACAAGTGGGAAAATTAACAACACTCTTTTTCTGAAGAAATGGGGAAGGAACCTGCTCATTGTGCAAGTCTATGTTGACTGGAGCAACATTTGACTCCCTATGTGCAGAATTTGCAAAACTCATGGGAAGTGAGTTTGAAATGAGCATGATGGGGGAACTAAATTTCTTCCTGGGTCTACAAGTGAAGAAATCTCAAAAAGGGACAATGATAAGTCAACAGAAGTACATCAAAGAGCTGTTGAAGAGATTTGACATGGAAACATCAAAAATCATTGACACTCCCATCGCCATAGCTACTCGTCTAGACATGGATGAACCTGGTTCCCCTATAAATCAGACCATGTATAGAGGTATCATAGGGTCACTTCTGTACCTCACGACAAGCAGACAAGATATTGTTTTTAGTGTGGGTCTTTGTGCAAGGTTTCAATCAAATCCAAAGGAATCTCATCTGAAAGCTGCCAAGAGAATCCTGAGATATCTCAAAGGAACACAGGACCTGGTTCTCTACTATCCCTCAGGAGAAAATTTTGATATAGTCGGATATGCGGATGGTGACTATGCTGGGTTTCTAGTGGACACAAAAAGCACTTCTGGCATGGCACATTTTCTTGGCTCATGTCTAATTTCATGGGGCACAAGGAAACAAAACTCAGTGGCACTCTCAACAACAGAAGTGGAATATGTGGCAGTGGCCTCTTGCTGTGCTAACCTACTGTGGATTAAGCAGCAGTTGGAAGACTTTGGAGTGTTTTCTGACTGTGTGACAATACCAGTGCTCTCAACATGGCCAAGGATCCCATCCAACATAAGAGAACTAAGCACATTGATGTGCGTCACCACTTCCTCAGAGACAATGTTGAAAAAGGACTTATCTGTATGAAATTTTGCAGCACAGAAGATCGGATTGTTGACATATTCACCAAAGCCCAGAAGAGAACATTTTGAAAGAAATTTCCAGGCACTAAGGTTGATAAACCCAATCGAGAACCTAGTCCCTCAATGATTGGCTATGAAAGAAATGTACAGGTAAAATTAGCTAAAAAGTGTTTTCTGGCAAAGTCTAACTCATCTCTATATCGTTACAAGTAGACACACATGATGATTAAAGAGCAAATAAGCAGCTAATGCATTGCACGTTGATCTAAAGGGTGAAGCTTACACTTGCAAAATTTGTCAGGGAACCTAGTTCTCCTGACACAGGTTAGTAGTTTCTCTGTTCTCTCATGCACAATTTTGAACGGTTGAAACAGTGCCATGTCATCATAGTGTTAGTTTCTTTTCTTTTCGTCCTTTGAACCCAAGAGTCTCACCCAGTAGCAAGCAACCCGACTCCCAAAACTGCCGCCTTTTCTTAACCGGTCCCTCATCCCTCTTAAAAACATCCCTTCACCATCACTTTCACTAATATTCACATCAAAACTTCAAAATTTCCCTTTTTCTCTCTTCAAACCAATATTCTCTCCTCTCCGACTCACTGCTTCCCACCATGTCTGAACAAAAGGAAACCCTAGATGTTCCAAGTATCACCTCCACTGAGTCTTCACCTGTTAAAACGCTGGTCATAGAATCCTCACTCGCCAACTAAGGTAGAATCATCACCTCCCTCTGTCTCCTCTCTTACCCAATCTAGTACTGGTTCTCATCGGAGTTTTACTGTATTGTGATGGTTTTACCCTGCCTCGTTGTAGCATTTTGCTGTGCATTTACGTGTTTTCTTATCGCTCAGCTGCCTTTACTTTTATTACTTACTGAGTTGGCGTACTCACATTACTCCCTGCACCCCTATGTGCAGATTCAGGAGTCTCGGGTCACGCTAGCGAGGGCTGATTTGTTTCCAGCAGGCTTGTTTGGAGTTAACTAGGTAGCTGCTCAGCGTTTGTAGCCCAGTGCTTCTCCTTCCTATTTTTTTTTGCTTGTTCCAGTTTTGCATTACACCATGTTGTCTTTTCATACTCTTAGACGGATTTTTAGATGCTCATGACTGGTGACACCCCGATGTCAGGCTGTGTTTGTTTCCGCATTTGTTCTACTTCACTATATTTTGGGGATTTATCACTTATTAATGATTTAATTATGAATTATTATAACTGTTAATTGATTTGGGGGTTTGTGTCGGCTAGCCTTGTTTCACGATAGGCGCCATCATGACCGGGTCCGGTTTGGCGTCGTGACAGAGAAGAACGAGGAGCTTAGGGATTTCCATTTCAAGGGGGAAATTAAGTGTTTTCAGTGAGGTAAGCTACTTGGACCTTGTATCTTGTGTTTATGGTAATTATTCCATTGTTTAATCATGATTTGAGTGGGAGAATTAGGGAAGAAATTGGGAGATTAGGGTTTGAAATTGGAGAGTTTAAATTGGGGATTTGAGGGGCCATTTGAGGTCTAATTTTGATGATTTTGATATGTATAGACTCGCGAGGGGATAAGGATTCTAGTGTTGTAATTTTTATTGGATTCCGAGACGTGGGCCCGGGGGTTTAGTTTGGCCAATTTCCGGAATTTTGATTAAATTTGATAATTTTCGCGTGGGCTTTGTTCCTTTGGCATGTATTTATTATATGATTCTGATTTTGGATAGATTCGGGGCGATTTGAGGCGGAGTCGAGAGGCAAGGGCATTGCGGAGTAGATCTTCGACCGGTTCGAGGTAAGTAAATATTGTAATAAGAGGCTCTTGTTGGCTTTCATTAGGTATACATAGGTACACATAGGACTTTCTTGCAATACATAGTGGTTGGCTTCGAATCACATGAAGCCCATATAGATGTCCACTCCTATTTCCTCTAAAGCTCTCCCTGTGGGGAACACAATCAGTCCATACAAGGACCTACCTGAGGGTATGCAACCCCGGAAATTTTGTACTATTTTGATAAATGAGGTGATGCACATGCTAGGTGATGGGCGTGTGGGCGTACACCCGTAGGGGTTGTGAGTTGGTCCATCCCGTGGCAACTGTAGGGTTGCATATTTTGATAAACTCTATATGATGTCTATGTGTTTTAGAAATGAATTTGTTAACTTGGGCTGAATGCCATGTTTGGGGCCTTGTGCCGTACTGTTTGGACCCTTAGGGGTATTTTACTATTATCCTCACATTGTTTTGATAGAAGCTTTATCCTCGGTCATGTTTTATACCTGTTTATTGTTAAATCTTGTTCATCACTCTATTTTAATATTTTTGAACGTGTTTTGGGCTGAGTTCCCTGAGTTTGCACTGAGATGCCCGAGTGGCTTGTTAGGTTGATGAGTGAGTGAGGCCGAGGGACGGATTGTGAGGATAGTTATGGATCGGGCTGCACGTTACAACGTTATATATATATATATATATATATATATATATATATATATATATATATATATAAATATATCGAGAGCTGCACGCCGCAACGATATAGCGCTTGGGTGGTAGGAGCCCCTCCGGAGTCTGCACACCCCAGTGAGCGTAGTCGACTATATTTATGGATTGGGCTGCACGTCGCAGCGCTTATTATATGATACCTATTAAGTGTGAGTGCCGAATGTGAGTATCGATTGATGATAGTGGAGTCACGAGTGACTAAAAGGCTTGCCCGAGAGGCTATACATATATATGAGTGATACCTTATACGAGGGGCTTGTTTTTATGAAATTACTGTTTCACTCTTCCTCATACTGATCCTCTATTGAAAATGTTGAATAAATATTTTTAACAACTTTCATTAAAACTAGAGTTTTTGCTAGATGTTCAGAATTTTATTCTTGCTATTTCCCCTGAGGTTCTTATGATATGATATGTATATGATTTTAAAATGCTCGACTCAACTTTTATTTATAAGTGTTACTTACTGAGTTGGCGTACTCACATTACTCCATGCACCTTGTGTGCAAATCCAGGTGACAGAGCATCCGAGTGATAGCTGATCTTTGCCTTCAGAGTATTTTCTGGAGTTAGCAAGGTAGCTGCACGGCGTCCCCAACCCTGCCTTTCTCCTTCCTATCTTTAGTGTTTTATTTAGCAGAATCATTTTGTATTGAGTAGACAGTATCAGATTGTATTCTAATGGCTCATAACTAGTGACACCGGGATCAGGCAGTGTTTGATGTTTTGCGTATTTGTTTCCGCTTATTTTGAAATATTAAAATGAAAGATTTATGATCATATTTGATTAGTAAATGAATTAAGAAAAAGACCTTGATGTTTTAAGTGTTGAATCAGCTGGCCTAGTACTGCGATAGGCGCTATCACGACCGGGATGGTTTGTGGTCGTGACATGTTGGTATCATAGACTGGGTTACATAGGTCTCACGGGTGATGAGGCGGTTTAATGGAGTCTCGCAGATCGGTACGGAGATGTCTGTATTTACCTTCGGGAGGCTGCAGAACCTTTAGGAAAAACTTCACATTCCTGAAATTCCTATCGTGTGAATCTGTTGATTCTAGTACTAAACTTCTGTTATTCTATTCTCTCACAGATGGTGAGGACACGTGCTACCAGTCAGGACGGACGACCACCAGTTGGGGCCACTAGAGGCCGAGGTTGCGGTCGAGGCCGTGGTAGGGGTAGGGGTGTAGCCCGCACAGTAGATAGGGCAGCACGTGCTGATCCACTAGCCGCCCCAGTTCATGATCAGATTCCAGTGGGGGATGCTCCAGCGAGACCAGCTTAGGCACCCGCTGTGCCTACTGTTATTCCGGGTCTTCAAGAGACCTTGGCTTAGATCTTGACCATGTGCACTAGTCTTGCTCAGGCGGTCGCAGTTTCTGCTACAGCAGCCACTTCTCAGGCCGAGGGAGGCACTCAGACTCTCGCCGCCCGCACACCCGAGCAGGTTGTTCAGGGATTGCAGACACCGGAGGCATTACCAGCCCAGCCGATTGCACCTGCTCAGGATTTTGTAGTACTAGTTATGCTTGAGGACGAGCAGCGTCGATTGGAGAAGTTTGGCAGACTTCAGCCTCCTAGTTTCAGTGGTGCAGAGGGCGAGGATTCCCAGGGTTTTTTGGACAAGTATCAGAGGATTCCTCGTACAGCGGGTATTCTGGAGACCAGTGGGGTCGCATTTACTACTTTTCAGTTTTCTGGAGCTGGCTTCACTTGGTGGGAGGCTTATGAGAGGCGTAGGTCTGTTGGTGCAGCGCCCCTTACCTGGCAGCAGTTTTCCGCTCTCTTTTTGGAGAAGTACGTGCCACAGTCCCACAGGAAGGAGCTACGCAGGCAGCTTGAGCAGTTGCATCAAGATGATATGATTGTGACGCAGTATGAGATGAGGTTTTCATAGCTAGCTCGTCATGCTGTTTGGTTGGTTCCTACGGATAAAGAGAGGATTAAGAGGTTCGTGGATGGCCTCACATATCAGCTTCGGATTCTCATGACCAGAGAGAGGGTGTCAGGTGCTACTTTTGAGTAGGTTGTCGATATTGCCCGAGAGATTGAGTCTGTTCGTCGCTAGGAGCGAGATGAGAGGGAGGCCAATAGGGCTCAGGGATCTGGTAGCTTTGGTGGAGTTCCTTCGAGAGGCCAGTTTCAGCACGGCACAGGCCGTCCATTCAGGCATGCTCAGTTAGCTCGCCCAGTTCATCGTGGGGCATCATCAGGACATGGTTCTCACAGTTCTCATCAGGGCCATTCATCACTTAGTGCTATTCTGGCCCAGAGTTCGTCCCGTGCTCCATCAGTTTAGGGCTCTTCTATGCTAGGTCCTTCTTCTAGACATCCCGGTGCTAAGGGTTCCCTTCAGTCCCCCTCCCCTGCACCAACGAGTTGTTATGAGTGTGGAGAGTTTGGGAATATGAGGAGATAGTGTCCACATCTTCTTGGGGGTTCGTCTCAGCAGAGAGGTCAGCCCTCGACTTCAGATCCAGTTACTTCACCACCTGCCCAGGCAGCTAGGGGTGGGGGTC